CCTGTCTAGGCAAAAAAACAAGTGTTAGAATGAGGAGAAAAAGTTGCATCAAATGGTGACTGAAGTGTTTAACGTTTTATGTTCTACGAAGTCAAAATAGGCTGAATGTAAAATTTGGTCACTTCAAAATAAATCGCAGAAATTCTGAAAGACAAGCAGTAGGGCTACAAAAATTGCATTGTTTGCAAAAGGTTTGCCCTATCTGATGATTATTAGGGCTCCTCCGAAAATCTCATACAAAGTATCGAAAATTAGCGAAAGTTGGGCATGGTAAAAACGAGTGGTTGAAATTTCCAGCGAATATCTCATCATTCATTCAATGAAACACATTAGGAGTCTAGCATCTGGGAAGAGGAAGAAATTCTGCATTGAATACATTCTGAAGTGTTTGTTTATCGTTATTCTAACGTGTTTGCCGATGGATTGAAAAACTGACAAAACTTTCGGACCCACCTAATATTTACAAATTTGAGATTAGTCGCATTTTTGAGTTTTCTGATCTTTAACATTTTGTTACTAGATTGTCCGGAAATTAATGCCCGTTTTGAATCCGCAATGAGTCAAACATTTCTCATTTCTAAACAAGTCGCAAAATAATGTTCGATAGAGCAAAGCAAGCTCTATAAGGTGGCCATCTTGCTTTAGCGACAGCTCTGATCCACCTCGAGTTTCGAGCCAAAAACTAAAAAGACTCAGCAACCCGAAAAATCAAAAAAAAATTGTAACACAAATCATAAAAATCCTACAAAAATTCTTGCGTGCTCACGTAAACACTATCCACGTAAAACATCTATATACGCCGTTGCTGTCTTTTTTACCTTTAAAAAATCAAGAAAACGGAAATTTTCGTGCATTTGCCAAAGTGGTGTTGTGCCTTCCCCACATAGGTAGTTGTATACCACAAGCCTGTAGAAGTACAAACGTAAATTTTCAGCTCTCTACAAGTTTTAGTTCTCGAGAAATTTGAATTTTAGCTTGGAACACCTAACTAGGGAAAGCTATGTTCCGTATTTTTCAAGGACTAAAGCTTTTAGAGAGCTGAAAATTTAAGTTTGTACTTCTACAGGCTTGTGGTATACAACTACCTATGTGGGAACGGCACAGCATGACTTTGGCAAATGCACAAAAATTTCCGTTTTCTTGGTTTCTAACAGAGAGAAAAATACGGCAAAGGCGTATATAGATCTTTAACGTGGATAGTGTTTACATGAGCAAGTAAGAATTTTTGTAGGATTTTTATGAACTGAGTTACGATTTTTTCCGATTTTTCAGGCTGCTGCGTTTTTTAGTTTTTGGCTCGAAACTCGAGATGGATGAGAGCTGTTGCAAAAGCAAGATAGCCATCTTGTAGAGCTTGCTTTGCTCTATCGAAAAGTGAGAGTGTATGACTTATTGCGGTTGAAATTCAAAACGGGCATTAATTTCCGGACAGCCTAATATTTTCTGGCAAAAGACTTTATAACTTATGAGGCTACTTAGTGTATATCCTCACAAATCAAATGAGAGCTTTGTAAAACACAAACATCATGCTAATTGATGTCTGGCTGGCAGTAAAAATCGCACCTCTTGACATACACATCAAATCTACGAAAGGTATAAGTATTACTCGCTAAAAATATTTTCTAAGGTAAATTAACGGGGTATTGTACAACCAGAAAAGGGGAGGGGGGAGGCTGACAAAGCTTTTTCAAACGTGTCTTACATCCCAGTAACTATGTCGTAAAGACATATTTAGCGAATAGTTTTTGTATGACTCGATAGCCTAAACCTCGTAGATTTCGCAGGATTAATTTGACCCGATTCGTCTTCCTTTGATTGATAGTTGCTGAAAGCGCAGCGTCAAAAGCGATAAAAGGGACAAATAAGATTTTTTGCTCCTTATTCCATAGTTAACTCACCAAAACAAATTTTGTCATATTCGAAAATGAGCATTAACTTGGGCGGCCCAGTATTCGGCAAACTCAAAATCGGCTCAACTTTGGTCCACACGGGTTACTGACAGGCTATTTATGCATAAGTTATTTGTTATGCTTGGTAGGTTTCTTTGTCATGCTGTTGGTATAGTAATAGGTAATGTCTTACTGTGCTTGAATTTTACATAACGGAATTATCTGACAAGTGTTCACAAAAACTTGTTTTCGCTTTTATCAATATCACCTCGCCCGGGACCCCTCCCTTTTTGACTCCCAGGTGTGGCGTGCCACACCCGCACTTGACTCTGGTCGACCTAACTACAGGGTGGCTGAAAAGTATTGGCGCGCCTAAAAACCCTATACTTTCTTTCAGAAAAAATTTTTGGCACTAATTTTTCATGATAAGTAAAGAAAACACAATAACCCACATAATTTATGAAAACTGCTCGAAATGTCCACCTTTGACTCTTAAGCATGCCTTCATTTTGAGTATCACTGAGTGACGGCGCGCCGCAGGTACTCTTGGTCTAAATCGTTCCATGCTTTTGTGAGTTCTCTGCGAAGGCCATTCACAGCGTTGATTGTCTTGCTTCTCGACCTCTCCTCTAAGTAACCTCAAACAGCAAAGTCAGTGGATTGAGATCGAGACTGCTAGGGGGTCATTGATCTTTCGTCAGACATCCTGGCACATTAGCATCTAGGAAGGCGATAGTGCTCTTTGCGGTTTGCGCAGGTGCCCAGTCCTGCTGGAACCTTCCTTTTGCGTTTTTTCGCCTCCATGGGACCACAGCTTTTGCCAGCACTTCTTCCTGATAGGTCTTTGCATTTATCTTCACATCTCGGTTGATAAAAATTAGAAGCTTCTTCACAGTGGCGCTTACCCCTGCCCAAACCATCACTCCCTTCGGAAAAAAGTGCGCGTGTAACAATTTTCCGTTTTCTGGTGTTCTTTAGACATGGGCTGAGCAGTTGCCGTGCATTTTGAATGTTATGGGTAGTTCCGATGGTGAAAATTTTGTCATCCTAAAATATTACCTCTTCTACGCGGCACGCCTCAAAGATTTGTAGCATTTCCTTGCAAATTCTTAGCCTCTTCAGCTTGGCGTCATCTGATAAATATTGCCCTCGGAGCAAACGATAACTGCGAAGACCCAAAGAGTTTCTGACAATAGTTTAAACTGTCTGACAAGAGATAGACAGGCTTTTTGCAATAGAATTCATACTGACTCCGTCGTTTCGGGCGATTCGTTTCTTGATGATGGCTCGCATTCTACGAGTGTTGACAGAGCGGGGACGGCCTATTGGTTTTTTCACATTGACATGTCCCATTAACTTCCACTGCTTGATGATTCTCTGCACCGCTCGGAGTGCGACTTTTAAGCGAGCCGAGATTACCAAAGCCTTCTGTCCGTCGGCTGCTAGGCGAGCGATTAATGCGCGGGGATCACAGGGCCTCATGAGCACACCAAAGCAAATGAATCTTGCATCAAAAGAAAGCTGAGAGATGCCACTACTTCGATCACGTTAAGACAGGCCAAATTATCTCCATTTGACAGCGGAAAATCAAAGGCAGTGTCCGGGCAAGAACTCGATCTTGAGATTTCTTGCTTATCCGGGCCTACTCGCTAGGCTGAATTCCCCACTGTGAATTTACGCTCCCAGCTTCCAGAGCGATCTTCTCGGTTCCGATTTCAAGTCGTGCATTCGCACCTGGCCGGTGGAGATCTCAGGCCGCAGGGGGAATTGGAAAGATCGCTCCAGAAGCTGGGACTGCGAAATTCACAGTGGGAAGGACCCCGCCCACTTCCGATTTCCCTCCTGCGTTAGAGCCCTTTTTTGCCGTTTTCGCGCTTTCCAATGTGGATTTTCGGATTCAGCGTAGTAAATAGGCCCGGGTAAGCACAAAATCTCAGAATCGACTTTTTGACCGGACACTGCCTTTAACGGCACAAAATGCGCCAATACTTTTCAGCCACCCTGTGAATATGCTTTGAGAAAGCAAGGCCCTCTTGGGCTTCGAGAAGTTCGTTAGGCACAGTCTAGCAGATTATCCGCTAAATGTAGTATGCTCGCAATGTCAAGATTTTGCGTGTAAACAGTCAGCTATAGGGGCGAGGTAAAGCCGCTAGCGTCCTTTGAGTTGCCGTGTGCTGAGGCACGTTTGATCCATCGATCTTTGCTAAACTTTACGAATCAGACCTCGCCACAATTGGGCAGTCAATAATAATTCACTTTCACCGCAGAATATCTTTATCGTAAGCAATTATATGAAGCCGATTAGATTCACTACTAGATTGTATATCGGCAAATCTAGGGAAAATCATAATGCTTTTAAAATTTAAAAAAATAAGTTTGAACTTCGACTTCTTTTGGTTACTGACAGCCGCGCTTTTCGATGCTCTCCCCAATCGGAATGATTTCTAACGATGAATGGCTTTTTTATCGAAGCGACCATTTAAAATGGGATATATGATGCTGCAATCTCTATCTGTGGAAGGCTATTTGAAAAACTCAGACACAGGAAACGAACAAGCGGCGGCTTTTTCGGTACAGCTTCCGCGGCCCGGTCGGAGATTCTTACACGGATTTTGGTCCGCGACTCAGTCTCTGCAATCCTCCGAACCATCGTTAAGGGCCGCGGCTGAGCCGGTGAACCCATTTCCTCCAGCGACTAGGCCGGTGCAATGATAATGAGATGAACGAAGGGTCGCCGGTCGGTCGCACATCGACCACGCCCCCAAATTAAGGCCGCGGGCGGGCCAGAAAGGCTTTTTGGAGCCGCGGGTTGTCCGCTTCCAGATCTGAGAAGGCTGCGACCCCAGAAACAAAAATGCACAAACGGAATGATTTGAGCATGCAAATGCCTGAGTAAACGACCGCACTCGCGCTGCACTATTCTACTACGATAACCACTGCACTGCTTTTATACCAGATGTTGTATGGGGATGTTCAGACCTGTAAATTTTCCAAACTTTTCCCAGAGAAAGGATTACAGTTTCGAGATTAGCATCCATGACTGACATGTACTGCTACTTACCCTTTGTAAAGTACTGGCTTTTTTGTAAGTTATACAGTGATGTCACCTACCAAATTTGGGCCTTTTTAGTACTATTGTCCGACAGTAGCGTTGCAATCTGTGGATAGAAACCAATAGTCGCACCAGTCAGATGCAACATCTTTTGGATAAAATACGACCATAACACTACGTCAGCTCTAAAACTAGATTCTTTCTCCCTCAGAAAATACTCCATTTTTTTCGACCATCGATGATTCAAGCCAGCGTCCAGACAGAATGTCGACCCAAGCATTTATCGCTTCTGCGGGAATGGAGCTTGGAGAGCGCAAAACTGTCGAAAAGTTCAATAGCACGAGGACTCGATGTAAGATTTGCTATGCCATCAAAATTTAGAGCGGGACCCTATGTTTGATTACGTGCGACTGCACACTGTGGCTTGCAGTTTAAAGACGGTGGCGCCCCGAGGCGCCTCGTCATAGCGTCTAGCACTGTTTTCTGCTTGAGAAGCGAATTGATGTTGCCATTTGGGCATGAGTTTTTGAGCGAGAGCTGGTGCACTCTATGTTTTTTCTTGTTATCGTCATACTTGCCCGGACGCTGCCCTTGGCACCTGTCAGACTTCACTCAAAAGCACCCATATGCTCTCAAATTTCTTTGATCTTTCTCCGCATTTCTATACCTTTCCTCACACGTGTTCCGCAGCCTCCTGACGCTTTTAGGCTAGTGGAATGTGTGTGAGGAAGGTTAGAGGGAAGAAAGGATTTGGGCCTTTTGGGAGTTTCTGGCGATTTTGAGAGCATTCAAACGAAGTCTAAAAAGTGCTTCAAGCAGACATGATTGGTCAGACTCAAATGATTGAATACCAACCTGGATTTTGTAGATGACGGCGCGAACAATATGAAAAATGAGTTGTAATGGAAGAGAGTGTTAGAGATATGCCAAGATGTGTAAACTCCTTAGGAAAATTATTACGCCTTGCAACAAAATCTAGAAAAATATTCTCACCTGTAGCTAAACCCACGTGTGGAGCAAAGCTGCTAGGATCCATTTCCAATTTACCGTTACTGTAAGTATAAGTGGTTGAAATATCAATTCAATTGATGCTTATAGTTAGATGGGGGTCAAAACATTGCTCTCAGTTCTGTGTTTTCTTTCTGAATGAAAGGAATTGCGTCTTTATCAGCCTGCTCCAGATACTCTTCAACCATCGTTGACTTATTATTTGGCTTTACTACACACATTGATCTCAAGAGTGGATATGAAACCTGAACTCGTACCGCTCTCGAGAATTTGCTTTTTGCAGACTACAAGGCGGCCAAAAAGTAGAGGCACAATTTTGTTAGGAAAGTATGTTATAAAACGCAGTTTTATAAATGTCTAATGCCATACGAAGGCATGTCAATGTGCTACTTCTACAGGCAAGACTGGGCTCCTGCATATGCATTTAGACTCCAGCAGCTTTTGAAGCTATTGTGTCAAAAAATGCTACATGAAGACTCGTTACTCAATCCGATTACGAGTCAAATAGATTTTGAGACATGGAATATGTAGAGCATAGTTCGTGGTACAAAAATGAACCATAATTTCTTTAGAATGAAGTACGGTACTATAAACATGGTGCTCCCACACCAGTACGCAGGCATAAAAGCGTTTTCAAAGTGGCTTTTTGAGCTCCATCTATATACAGGGTGTCCCAAAGAATGTGCCCCCTGTTTTATTGTTAATAACTCTCATCCAATGGAGTCTTTCGAGAAGCTTTAGGTACCATTTTGTAGAGCTGGCTTCAACCTAGCTTCATAGTATGGAGCAAATTGCCTATCGCTCTTCATCACTGTAGGATTACGGTAGAAACTTCAAGCATTTAGTGTCACTGTGAAAAAACTGCCGTTTCAAAAAAATGTGAAAAACTGTGTAATAGGGTTTCCATGTATGCTGAATTCAATATCAATTATGTACAAGATTGCGAAGCTTTGTAAACGGTGTAAGCGCATTTTTAGGAACATTGGAAAAACGGCCGGTACTGCTTACCTCGCATAACTTTTCAATGAAGCATTAGAATAAGTTGCGAACTTCACACTTAGAGCAACTTTAACTGGCTTACTGTGAAAGTTTTCAGGTTGTTTTGTTTTCTTTCTGAGGTAAAATATGGCCTTTCATGGCTCAAAATCCTCCTCAAAGTTCTCACTGTAATCCTACAGTAGAAGAGCAATTCGATGATTCGCTTCATATTGCAAATCTAAGTCAAAGCCAGCTCTACAAAAGGTTCTCAAAGCTTCTTGAAAGACTTCATTACAAGAGAGTTATTCACAATCAAAGAGTAAGCACACTTTTTTAGGACACTCTGTACATGGCGCCATTTTTTTACATGCCAGCCTACTAGTAAAAAAGAGATTTTGGTATAAAAGGGGAGGACGCTAACTTTAAATCTCATATGCGCTTCGAACGGAATGGACAAAGTTATTTTTCTCGAGAGCGCATTGTGTAGCTAAAATTACACAAAAGAAGTAAACTTCATGAAGTTGATTCGAACCTAAAGCGCCGTGAGTGGTACTGGTAGGCGGCTCAGTTAAGATCAGCAATTAAGCTGTTGATTGCGAAAGATCGTTTAAACAGGTAAATGCGACTCAACCGAGAGGGCTATTCTTGCTGATTTGCTCCATTTTTGACAGTCATTTTTGAAAAGACTATCTTGAGCGCTATCAAAGGTTTTGCCAAGCATCTGAAGATCTAAAATTGAGAGTTTCTTTTTAATCAAAAAGCACGTTCCGTTTAAAATGAATACAAGGTTAGTTTACCCTGAGAAGTTATAAAAGAAGCAGTCCGGAAAAGGGACCAAAATCTATTTTCTTCCTCAGCAATAATGTGGCTTCGGTCGCCTAGATATACACGGATGATACCGCGTTCGAATCACTGGAAGAATGCTCTGAACAGCCGTTTGTAGTCTATGCAACAACAATGACTGTGAGCAGAATGGGAGGAGTTTAATGAGATTACGAATTAAGCGGGCATTCTCAAAGCACCGAATGGTACAAAATAATATGACTCGTCGAGCCTGGGAAAATGAGACTAGGTTTCAAGCTAGATAAAAAACTCAAAGAATACACTAAACAATATGCAGTGACAAAAAAAGACCAATATTGAACAGTAACAATTACTACACATTAGCCATATGAGAGTCTAGCCGTTACACGTCCCCCCTTACTGTAAATGACGTCCCGGCACTTAAATCTGTGGTGGTATCCGTGATTTCTTCTTCGTCCGTTTTCGGTTTCTAGGTCTGCGTGTCTATGCCTGCGATCCTTGTCCATGCGATCGTTTTCCAGGCGATCCTCGTTCCAACGATCCTCGTCCATGCGATCGTTGTCCATCTTGTTCATGTGATTCCTGTCCACGCGATCGTCCATGCGATGGTTTTCCAAGCCATCATCTTTCAGATATCTAACCCGGCGAGTACTATCTAGCTTTTTGTGTCTGTCTTCTTGTTGCTTTTATTCTTGCATTATTGGTGCGACAGCGTGTGCTTTGACATAGTCGACTATCGACTCAAGAAGATCCAAAATTGCGCGAGGATATTCGGCGCACTTGTACATCTTACCATATTGCTTTTACGTTTCATGATGCGCACCAAATCTCTGCAACTCTTCAGACATAAGTAAGTTGCGCAGTGTGCTGAACTGTTCGCCTTTGAGTCGTGGTTCTGCCGACCCAACTACCTTTGTCCTGTACCTGAAGAGCAGCACATTTCTTTACAACATTCTCCTTTGCAATGCGTTAGATTCTGCTACATCTTCGTGGTTCACGCCTACCCTTCGACATTGGCTGACGAATTCTTTTACTGTTGCTTTAACCGCAGTTTTTGCTTCTTCGCATTCTCCATTTGTTGCTTTCTCCTCGACGAAAGTTCATCCAACAATTTCTTTGAGATGTTAGATTCGCATTCCTTTTCAAGTTTTTGCGCCTCAGTGAATACCTTTATACTTTTTGCATCACTCTGATCCCAGATATGTCAGTCCCCCTTTTACCTGTGGGAACAAACATAACTTCTCAATGAAGTCCATGAGAGCAAATTGCTCTTGGTACCACTCTAAGTCACTTTGACACCAAAGTTGAGAAGGACATTGGTTTCTAAAATCATTTCATTCTCTAACGATCTTATAATAAATAATGTAACTTTCTTGAATCTGTCAAACACTTTTGTCGATTTGATTGCGTCCAACATTTCCATCTTGTTGCCAGAAGCATCTCATTTTGTGGAATTTGCAATTATTCCTAAAAGTCTTTCTACATAGGCGAGATCTATTCCTGCATCTTTGGTCTTTCTAAACAACTCCAGTGGTGCTATTGACGCCTCCGAATCAGTGTCTATGAGTGCCTTCACTTCCATGGTGACCACGTTTGCTGGCACAAGTAGCTTTTAACCAACAAAATTACCCGCACTCCTCTTAACATCTCTTACTGCGCTCTTAACATCTCTTACTGCGCGCAGCTATCAAGAGCTGTGGAGAGCGAAGATGCCTCGTTTTGTCCACTTTCTTCTGAGATATTTTCTAACTCATTTTGCAGCGTGTATTGCTTCGTTTTGTGTCCTGCTTCACTACATTTATAACATTCGTAACTGGTCCTCTTACCTTTCCAGTACGAAGCAAAAATCGCTGACTGACTGATTCTCTCGTATTTTAAGATTTAAACTAGCCAAAGCATCAACACTAGAAGTGTTGCCTCCTACAGCTAACGTTATTTTTATTGCTTGTACTACGTCATCAAGTGAGCTTTCCTCCACACTTCGTGGCGGTGTTGCCAATAAATTCAAGGCTTCTTTTCTTAGAAAACTTTCAAAAAGGTGTATCAAATATCAACTGACTTCTAATACTGTAGAAACTAACATGAATTCCTTTATGATGAACCCGGCATTGGCATCTTGCAACTCATCTTGCAATCGTGCTTTACGTACATTTGCATCCAGTTGCTGTCGATCTATGGTTGAGCTTGGCCTTTGCCCATATAAGGAAGCACGTTGAACAAAATTCTGCCTTTTATGCAATGTAGACGCTCCTCGGATAAGGTTCGTCTGGCTACGCTTAACGTTACTCACAGCTCGACACCGAGAAGTTTGCATCTTCTTAGAAGAAGGAAAGTAGACATCGCCTGCCCACAAGAAACCATGTGGAAAAGAGAAAGGCACGTGACGTCGGCGATGGCTTCAAATTTCTGTATAAGGGAAAAGTAGTAGCAAAAATAATATCGGAATAGTGGTCTCTGAAGCATTAAGAGATAGAATAACGGTGATCACATAAACGACCGTCTGATGAGTTAAGAGTAGATATAGGAAAGAAGGAGCTTCGAGTAATAACGACATATGCGCCACAAGCAGGCTGCGCAGAAGCTGAGAAAGAGGAGTTATGGCAATGGGCAGATCTCAACAGGCATTAGAAGAGCAGCGAAGCGGCCTTTAGAAGATCATGGAAATTATGGATACGACACACGTAGCGACAAAGGCGAGAGTATCCTGGATTTTGTCACAGCTCACGAGTTGGCCTTCATCAAGAACACTTCATCAAGAAGACCAACCACCTCATTACGTATTCTAGTAGAGATCGTAATTTGCAAATAAACTTCTGAGTGGTACCACAGAATGAGTTCAGTACGTAAGAGATATCAAAGTCATCCTGGCGGAGACTGCGTACCTTAACAAAGACCACTGCTTCTAGACTTGAACATCTCATCTATAGAAAAAAAAAGCAATGACGAAATGCGGGGAGCGCATCAAATGGTGGAAGTTCAAAGACAACCCTCAAGCTAAATCAGCAATGGAGTCAGTCCTGCCAAGATGGAAGAACCAGAACATTCGTGGACGCATCTGAAGAACAACGTTCATCGGATGGCAAGCAACCTACTAGGCCGCACGAAACCGCGAAGGCCGAAGCTTGAAGAGGAGACATGGGTGGAATGGTATCGTACAAGAAGTGATCAAGAACAAGAAGACGGAGTATAAGGTATGGTAGAAGTCAGGATGAGGAGATGCTAGCCAAGAATGTCTGAATGCAAAGCTTGAGCGAAGAACAAT